CGCCGCGATGGCCAAGGTGCTTCTGAGCTTCGCAGGCGCCAACCTTCAGCTGAGTGGGGGTGGAGGACATGGGGAAACAAACCAAAAACATATATCATCAAGACGTATCAAAACCATTCAACACCTTCAGCACTCCACAGCAGGATGAGCAGGAGCCAACCTCAAGTGGTCTTCTTGTGACCTTCAGAGACCTGTGGTGGGGGGGGGTAAGGGGCTTAGTAGATTTGCAGGCTGGGATGTTTGATCTGTCTGTTAAGGATTGTGTGAATCGACCCGGAAGAACATGCATAGCCATGGTCCATGGTGAAGGCAAAGACCTGCTCCATCCGCAGTCCCGAAGCCAGGCCTAAGCTCTCGGGTGGAGCTACGAACGGGACACTCGCGGCAGCTTCTACCGCAGCTGAAGCATCGCTTTGGTGCAGTGTTTCTGGACTTGTGGGGCTCACAATATGCTGAAGTGCTTGAAGCTAGTCTGAAGAGGATGCAACCTGCATTTCAGTTGGTTCAGTTGGTCTGGGCACGGGCGGGGATCAACTTTTTTCATGCTGGCCCAGCTAGCCCGGGTGGATACAACGTGCCACCGCACTGTTATGGCCAGAGCTTTGTCTTCTTTTGGATATGTGGATAGCCATCAACTTCACGCGGTAGTTCGTCCTTATCATCCACATCCGCCTTACTAGTAACAAGAAGCTACTAGGAGCAAAGGGCATCGCTACTAGGAGCAAGGACGCTACTAGGGGCTCCTGGCCGTACTACTAGGAGCAAATAGCTACTAGTAACAAGAAGCTACTACCTCAAAAAGACGTCCCACCTGTTCCCGGACACGCCCAGTCGCTCCTGCGCGGCCGCTTGGTGCCCGGAGCTGTGCTCGTGGCCGACAACGTGCTGCGCACGGCGGCCGGGGAGTTTTTGTGGCGCTTGGCGCACCATGGGGCGGCACCAGGCGAAGCGATCTGGAAAGGGCAGAAAAGGATGGTAACTGCTCAGTAATTGAGTAGCGAGTGAGGCTTACTGTATGAGGATCGATCATATCCACAGTGCTTTCGTTTCACTCATGGCGCAGGGGGAGGAATTGCTTGCTTGGGTTTTTGCACTGAATTTCAGGGAGATGGGGAAGCGATTCCACATCGGATCTCGCAGGCTTCCACACGCAGGTGATGCCAGTGACAGAAGTAGTGAAGCAAGACGAAGAGGACGAGTCGCAACGCTTGTGAGTCGAGTGGCTCACGTGTTCTTCCATTTCCTCCCGTTGAGCCACCATAAGTGTGAATTGCAGGATGGAGAGAACATCACACCTCTCTTGGGACATGTGCAACTGGATAAAGGCTTACTAGGTGGGGCTCCCTCATTTTTCATGGTCCAGGACTGGATGTCTGTGACAGTGGTGAATCGTGGCGATGCCAACATCTTCGAGGAGCGCTTCCGTCTGCGAACCGCTTCGTGGTTCGTTTCGAAAGACGGCGATCCATGGACCAAGTTTCCCGGCATCTTTCTTTACTATAGAGAGGAGAAATCACATCTATACAGACAAAATCAGACAAACATTGCTTGTTTACACATGTTTTACACAAAAATTCACTGCTTCACTTCACCGAATTCTCCAGCTCAGTCTGCTCGCCTCCCAGGTGCCTCCCAGCATCCGGGAGCTCCAAGGCAACTCCGAGCGCTGGCGGCAGCGCGCCACCAACGTGGGCATGGAGCCGGAGGCGACCGATGTGTACCCGAGCCCGTTGTAGGTGTTACTGTATACATAAACGATAAACCAAATCTATTATCGTTTAGATGTAGCGCTACATACTAATATCTACAATTATCTTATCGTTTGTCTATAATCAATCTACTGTATATTAATAGATGTTTTACTTCCCTTTGTATTTTCTTTGAAAGAAAGACCTGGCTGTGTTTGGAGACATGACATGGCGGTGTTTTTCAAAAAGGGAGACCTCCCAGGCAACGACCCTCTGGAAGAAGGAACATAGACCAAAACCCATTGGGTGGGGGTATCCCAATAAAACAGTCATAGTCCCCAGTCAAATGGATGGTGGAACGGAAAGGTGAATCGTCCGAGCACTTGAAGGTGTTTGAACAAATCATTCTGCATGTCTGCCGAAAACAGCGGTGGCGCGGCAGCTGCAATGTGGTGGGAAACTTGTTTGTGGGGAGTAGCATGCAAAAACCGCCATGGAAACAAAACCGGCAAAGTGGAGTCACAGCGTGGACAAAGTTTCTTCAGCAGGTACGTCGACAGGACGGCTCCCGTCGATATCACGAGCAAGAGATAGGTGTCTTCGTTGGCACCTGCCCTATCTCTGCTCCAGGTGCCCCTTGCGTGTGTTGGTGGAAAAGGACTCCTAGGTACGGAGTGTGACACGCACACACACACACACGCACTTAGATTGATGCTCGCAAGAGCTAAGTCGGTGAATGAAGTTCTACTTTACATGCAATTAGACCTTGGCTGACGGAACGGAAAGGTGAAGGAACCCGCTTCAACAGTATTGTTTAACACGGGTGAGGCAGTGGGTTAAAGTTAGTGCAGGTACACAGAGCTGATCGGCTCTGCTTCCCAGATGCAAGGTAGCTTTGTTAGGCGCAGTTTGAAGCAGGTGTGGACACACACAAAAATCCGGGAGTCCGGCGCGCTCTATTTTTCCTTGCGGATGGGAGTGGGGGGGGCAAGGGAGTGCGTTGACTAAACGAGCCTGGATGTCCACCTAACAAGGAAGCCTGAGAGAAAGAACAAGGCAAACGAAAAGGCAAGACAAGAACAGAAAGGTGCAAGGGGTGCAGGGGTGGGCAGGGTGTGCATTGACTAAAAGGCCTGATTGTCCACCTAGCAAGCCTGAGAGAAAGAACAAGACAAACGAAAAGGCAAGAAAAGAAGAGGAAGGTGCAAGGGGGTGCAGGGGCGTAGGGTGGGGGTGTGGGGGTCCTTGCCCGAAGGCGTGACCAAAAGCCGTAACCGGCACTTCCTTGACTGAAAAAGCCTCCGTTACACCTAAAAAGCCTCTAGAAAACGAAAAAGACCGAGAAAACCAAGAGCAACAGCAAGAAGGAAAGAACAGAAAAGTGAATACTTAGCCGCATGTATTTGAACGTTTCAAGAACGTGGCCTGTGACTACGTAGCAGCATGACATGTACCTAGCAGCATGCGAGGATCCGTTCTGGAGTTTGATCTCAGTAAGCCCTGCGGCATTTGATCAGCAATCTCGTGCAACACCGCAAGCTAGTAAGAGTCCGAGAGAAGGTCACGGGCAGGAAGGAAGCGATCAGTGAGGGTCCCCCAAATCTGGGTCTATGCACATGCTGCGCCCCTCGATGGGGATCACACCGCAGCCCTCAGTGGGACTCTGTGGCGAAACGCGCTTAGATTGATGCTCGCAAGAGCTGAGTCGGTGAATGAAGCTCCACTTTACACGCAATTAGACCTTGGCTGACGGAACGGAAAGGTGAAGGAACCCGCTTCAACAGTATTGTTTAACACGGGTGAGGCAGTGGGTTAAAGTTAGCGCAGGTACACAGAGCTGATCGGCTCTGCTTCCCAGATGCAAGGTAGCTTTGTTAGGCGCAGTCCCTTGCATCTGCTGTGCCCCCCTGCTTGAACACTTGAAACAGGTGTGGACGCACACACTTCGACAATTGTATTCAGTTATCTCGATTCCCACGATGGGAAGGAAGGTGAGGGAACGGAAAGGTGCATGAGTCAGCAAACTGTATTGTTGAACAAAGTTTCGACAGGTGTGCGGTGGCGAGCC